TTTCCAAATGTTTCCAAAACTGAGGAAAACTAAATCATTGCGGTAGCTATGAAAAGTAATTGAAGGTTCTAAACCAAGCGGATTTGGTGCCTGGATATTCATGGAACTTGCACAATTCTCATCAGAGGATGGACTATCAGAAAAATGATTGGGAGTGGAGGAGGGGGGGGGGGAAGGAGGGAGGGAAGAGTTTCATGAATGCTTTCGGTTTTTTTTGTCTGTTTGGATGGGTTTTCTTTGTACTACTTGATCGAAATCTTATTTTTAGGTTTGTTTTTGTTGTTTTTCTTAATCCATATTTTGACTTGTTTTCTTTAGTAAATAACTTAAACTTTCCCCACCCCTCCCCCCCCCTTAAGGTTCCATCCCCGTGGGGGTGATACCTTTACAAAGACGGTGTCATCTGTTTTGTTTACGGCCACTGCGGTTCCACCACTGCTACTCTCCAAAATAACAATTATTTCGGCGTTTAGACCAGCAGTAAAGTGCAGAATAGTATGGACCATTAAGTGAGCTGTCAAAAATAACACAAATTGATATCAATGGAAAGGCAGAAAATGATCGATTTGGACTCGCTTTGTTTTATTTTGTTTTTTTTTTCTTTCGTTTTTTAAGCATGACTAGTCGAAAGCGATTCATGACATCACCCGCACTTTTACAAAATAAGCGCCTTTCATGTTATTCTTAGTAACGGCCATGGTTGGATTTGCCTCCTATCCGAAAACTGCTGCATTTGATTTACATTGGACTTTTGTTTCTTGGCCGTTTTAACTCGACCTTGTTTACAATAAAGCTGTGAACATGTTCCAAAATTTGAATATCTACTTACTTTTTGGATCTGTGCCTGTGGCATATGCAACAATAGATTTTCCGTCAATTTTCAGGTAGTGACCCGGGACATTACCGTCTTCCTTTTTAGAAACCATTTGGTAAGCAAGGCGGTTCCACTCGTCGTTCATCGGCTTAGTGATTTCCTCAATGCTTCCCTAAAACGTTCATTAAAACCATTATCAATAATCCTCTATTTAGCCAAACCATCAGATATTTTTCCGAAATATATGTTTTATTGATGACAGATATGACATCATAAACATATAAATAAGTTGCAATTTGAAAACATTTTTCGATAAACTATGCGCCATCTTGGACAAAGAAATGATTAAAAAGATTTATATAGACAATAACAGGGATATCTATATCCCATCACACAACAGTGGGCACTGAATTCGACAGATGACTGAAGACTAATTTCATCTGTCTCGTTTGAGCCAAGTGTGCATTTAGTTACTGTTCAGGAATGAAGAATAAAACACTCCTAGCTAAGGAGGGACTCACAGCGCGCACTGTTTATTAACCTATGCAGCCTAGAAGGTCGTGACATCACTGCAACTCTTTAGCATGCGCCATTAGCTGTGTTGTGAGTAGTTGATTACAAAGCATAACAAAGTGTGAAGAAATCACATTGGTCGAACGTCTGCGCATGTGCGAGTGCTAATGTGACTAATTATGGGCGGCATGTTTCGGACTGTCAGAAACAAGTTGTGTTACAAGAGCCATAAAAAACACACAAGCCATTTAGTTACAGTGGTTTAGAACCGTGTAATGTTTTCTGTAAAGCTCAAAACAAAATAATGAATCAGCAGGATACACGTAATTCATTAGGCTTTACGTTCTAAGGAACCTAGAGCTCTCGTTTTCTCTACCTTTATTTCCTTCTTTGGAAGTTTTATTTTCTCGGCTCATTTTGCGTGACAAGGGTTGTGTATTACTGTTTCATTAGAAATTTTGCGCGGGAAATTGGCGTGCGGCAGGCCAAATTGATTGCCTTGCGCATGCCCGACGTTTGACAGCCATGTTGCGCCATGTTTGGAAATTTTCAAATGAGTAGTAGTTCATTTGGGAGATAAAAATTTAGCCGGCCCAGATGAAAAGGAAACAAAGTAAAGAACTCTCGAGTCTCTCTAAACTACTGTATGATTTCAACTTGGAGATTGCATCGGCTCGGTAAACTTTCGAGTACTCTGAGTTTACCGTTCTTCGTTTCTCAGGCCGAGGTGAACTGATGCTTGAAAAATAAAGCAAACTTGCTGACCTCAAGGAAGGCTTTGCGACCTTTGGACTAATCTACGGCCGATAAACGTTGTTTTCAAGTGTTGATGTGTCTAAAAAGTATATTTTAAAAGAAGATTTGTGCTTAATTTAATAACTTTTAGAATTTTCGAGATAATAATGAAGAACGTTTCACACTCACCTTTTCTGATCCGTCGTGTACATCATGGTGTCCTGTGTGAAGAACATGTACAGAAGTAAAATCATAAGTGATGTTTTGCGCAAGTACTAAAAGCATAAGTGCTGTGTAATTTTTAGAGGTGGTTGTTGACAATTATGAAAGGAAGTG